TTGAGTAAAGTCCAAAAATAACAATAACAAAACAAAACATTCAGAAAAACAAAAACTTTCAGTATTAATACATATCAAGAATATAGGAAATAAATTTGCAAAAATGCTAAGAATGAAAAAATCATTACTTGAAACAATAATAGGAAATAATTCATCCATGCTAAAATCTTCCAGCTTTGGGGCATAGATGTATAAAGCTGCAAGGAATTTGACAATTATTACAATATAAAATGTAATGTTTCTCATCCCCTACTTCATTGCATTCATGGAGATTACATAGCCTGTTTTCCTTCAAAATGCCTTTATGTCTACCGGATTCAATGGGAAGAAAATGTGCAGAAGTTCTAAATTTAGTATAAGCTATTCTATGATTTTTATTTTTAATTTTTTCCAAATAATGTTCAAATTCAAAATTTTCTTTAGCACACCTGTAAAAGTCAAGCTTACAATTGTTCAACAAATTGTTTTTCCACTTCATACGGTACAAACATTTGAGCTTCTCTTTAAAAATATCACAAAAATTGTTCTGATGTGGGTCTGAATTAGTTAGATTTGTTATGACTAGTAATTTTTGTATAAAGTTAAGCCATGGGTCATGCACAAGAGTTTTGGATTCTTCATAGGCTGCATCAATGATAGAATTGTTTGTTTTTTTACATACTAGTCTTTGATAATATTTCATAACTGAAACACAGATATCCAATATAAGTGGATATTGACCTAATTCACCTCTACATGGGTCATTAGATGCCTTCCTGTGTACACCCAGAACTCTTTTACAGAATTTAATATGAAGTTTTTCTGGAATTAATTTATCTGAGAAAAGTTTTGTTTCAAAATTGCAATTGTCAACTGTACATTTATTTTTATTTTTCTCGTATCATGTCAAGTGCAATTCTAAATTGGCAGAATCATTAAAATGAGTAACTCATTAAAATATTACTTATTTTTATCATAGAAAAATCTCTGTATTTTACTTGAGTGAATGCACTACTAATAAAGCAAGTACGGCACCACGTGTAATGTCATTGTTGGCTGGTTCCCGCCTCAAGTGTCAGGTCTCATGCCACTAATTAACCAATGGCTGCTCGTAGCCCAGCAAGAACCAATGAAATTTTTTAAATATTATTTTTCTCAGGTGCTCCCTGTTTGAGTTCGTAATCACCTGGGTCAGAGGTGAGACCAACATGTGGTCTTTTGTTTACTACTTAGCGGCTGTGTACCTGTGGGTTTATTCTGTGTGTTAATGGATGTTCTAATCTTGGTGTTTTTCCAGTGATTTCTCTTGGTGTAATCCAAATACAGTAGGTGTGTCTTGTTTACCTGAGATTTGCAAGAGTTTGAGCTGGCCAACATGTTAGTTTTTTTCATATGGTTGATTACTGGCATGTTGATTTCCCATTTTTGAGCTATATTTTCAACTTTCTTCGTCATTTTTATATAGCAATCTCGTCATATGTTAACATTGTCGTCTATGGAAATTCAATTAGTGGTATAAGCCCTGTCATAGCTACCTACCATTCGCAAAGGACGCCGGGAACCATCGAATGTCATTGCAGTTTCAAATTTAAACAAAATATTTCAAACCTGTGTTCGTTGAGGGCGCTATAGTAAAATAGTCTTAAAGGGGAACTAAATATAGCCTATTTTGGTGTTTGTATTTATCAAGTTATGTATATTGATTATAAATTTGAAAAAAAAAATTAAAAAAAATGATTATCTTCAGAGTTATGATGATTTAAATATGAGAAACCATAAACCTGCGAAGGGCTTCCGTTTGCGCCATCTTGCCATAAAAAACCGCCCTCATGAGGTATAAACAGGTAAGGTAACAAAGCATGATGACGAAATAGTATCTGATTAAATATAAGCAACTTAGGGAGCCATAGCTGGTTGGACTGGTGGGGACTTCTAGTCTAGGTTGTTTCGACTTTTACGTTAATGTTATTTACATGCATATCAACATACAAACATTATGGATGTGCGATTGATTGAGACAGGCATTTTGTTTTGTTTTTTGTCTAACTGTCTAATAAATGCTGTTTCCAGTACTGCACTCTGCGTGCAAATTATTCAAAGTATGGATGCTGGAGTATGCAATCTTGAGTTCGTAGGGTGGTGGTGGAAACATTTTCGTCCATGTATTCACCGGGCTGCACTGGCACTGCACAAGTGTCACAGGAACACCAAGCAGATTGTTCACAGACTTCCGTGTAATTTGAAATAAAACTTTCATCCGAACAAGGGGCATCGTCGACGATATACTCTCATCACTCACACTGGACTGATCTGAATCGTCACAGTATACCGTACTTCCCTGATCATAAGCCCGGAGGCATGAACACGTAAAGGAAAAGTAAGGGGTGAGCTTGTACTCGAGGACCAACTCATAAAAAATGATTTTGTTTTGGGGTTAAACACTGTAACCATCTTGCAAACAACGAAAAATTATCCAAAAAAAATATTCGTTCACCACGCCGGGCTCGGGAAAATAATACTTATTTTGAAAAAAAATGCGTCATTGATTTGAACGATACTTACAATGAAGAAACAAACATGTTCATAAAAAAGACACACATTTTATTACAATACGATTTACATACCGTCTGAATTTACGGTGAAATAATGGGTAGGGTCTGTGAGGAAACAGTGGACGATGGCATTTATCATTATCTTCGTTTTGGTATGTTTTCGATTCGACGTACGCAAACTCAACGCAAAGCAATTTTCCACCATAAGGTTTTCAGCACGATTTGACCTGGAACAACTTCCTTTGACA